CTGCCAACTAGTGGTCAGAGGCTGAACTACAACATAAAAATGAACGGCCGGCAGGAAAGTTGACATTTTAAACCTTAAATAAATATCGATACAAGACTTTAGAATATCGATACAGTATCGGGAAATGAAATATCGCGATATTTCAGTGTATCAATATTTTCTTACACCCCTACTGGGAAGATAGATTTATGCAACTCTTGAGAATTCAAGACAATATATCACTGGACTACAACTATTCGAGACTATTTGAAGAATCAAAACTGTGAAAAAACAGATAACGTTCAGCTGCAGTTTCACTCAAGAGTTTGTGACCAGCAGCTCATGCTGAAGCGTTGTGTGGCCAAAATATCAGTCTATGTGTAAACAAAATACAGGCTGTTATATTGTTTTGCAGTTGCAACACCAGACACTAGGGCATCACAGACGTGTTGCTGCTCAATGGGCTGTGGTAAAATGCCACTACTCTTTTCATTTATCCAGTGTTCTGAGAAGGCAGAGAGGCAAGCCCCAGGAGGCGTCAAATGCTCAGCTTGTGCTAACGTGAGCCACTCCAGGGACCAAAACAGATGGGGAGTGTGTCGGGGGCGGTACACCTGTCCAACACGAGCACAGGTGTCATAAGGGGAGCTGAGGGAGGAAACCTCCAGTGAAGCAGAAGGGAAGCTCTGCACCGCACCTGAGCAATTACAGGATTTGGTTTTCCCCTCCCACAAACACTTCGAAGCACGTTTTAGTTTGCACGTACAATAGTGTCAACTTACAAATAAACATTACAGTACAACAAAATGAACAAACAGGTAGCAATTCACAACAAACACAGCTATGGAGCTCTAGAATAACGGAAACTATACAGAGAAGGGTTTGAGAAGCTCACAAAATCTGTCTTGCAAATTTTCTGAAGATGCTCAAAATTCAAGCAACGAGTGCCTGCGACACATGCGAGGAAACTAAAAACTTTGGATTATTTCGAGACATTTTGGAGTCTTCCGACGAATACGGTTCGCCATTTTGTGTCAAACTGTCACAGCCCAGTAAGATCTGGCTTCAGCTACCGCCCCCAGTAATCACTGACATCCACTGACTCACCTGAGAGAAACAACCATTATGAATAAATACAGAAACTAGGCCAAATTGCATGTGTAACAAAGGACACTTATAGCAAGCTCAAGCTGTCTGTACAAAAGGCCCCAGAGGGTCGAACCAAGACTGCCATCTGTCCCAAACTGAGACCGTCACAGAGCACAGCCTGTTTTCCTTCCACCACAAACTGCTAACCAATTTCTCACTGAAAGTCATTTCAAAGCATTTAATTATTATTTATAAGTCAAGCCTAACCTCTTTGTAAAGACAATTTAATGGTAAAGAAATACTGAACTGCTGCTTGATGTAGGTCACAATTAAAACATTAAAATAAAGAAAAGGTACAATATTAAACCTGCTGGAAACTTGAGACAAAACTCACCCTCTCTGGAACAGGTCCACATTGTAGAACTTGTGGAGTTCCACAGAAAACTCCACTGTGGCCTGGACTTCAGCCATCTTGGTCTCTATAGGCAGAGGAGCTTCACATCATCTCGTATACACCTGTAGGCCTGCACCCAGAGATAAAAAAAAAAAACAATTTGAATAAAACTAATTGGATGTTGAACATGTTTGATTTTTTGAAATACAAATACTAAGCCCAAAGAATCCCACAAAGTAAGCAAAACACTAAGAAAACCTAAGAAAAATTAAAGACAATTTTAGTAACTGCCATATACCAACAAATAAAATCTAAGACAAGAAATATAGTAAGCGTTAAGACACGAGACTAATTTTTGGTCTTATTGGTTAACAACAAATCCAATAACAGAGTTTAGTAGAGCAAAGCAAAAGACCATTAGCACTTCAAGAATAGGCCAGAAATTCAATACTGTAGTGTTTAGAAATAAACACAGACCGTCATGTCTTTTAATGCAAACACTTTTAGCTCAGGGTTTATTTAAAGCCAGCTAATACAAATGCCATACTGATATTTCTGTCTGTAGCCAAAGTAAAACATCCCGCCCAAAAACATTTACAAAACAGGCGCTTCCTAAATTAGCTTTAACTACGAAATGAATTAATTATCTACTGGACATGTTTGTGTCACTGAAACCATCCCAAACACAAAGGCTAATATGAATTTGACCTGGACATTAATATTTAATAAACATGAACAGCAATTCATTCTAGGAAAAAGTGTAATTGCTTTAGGAATTACAAAGCAACAAAAATAAAGCAGGAACAATACGCAGAACACAAAAGTCAAGTGGTTAAGCTGATAAATTGTATCCACATTTGATGTAAAACTATATTTCTCATTCTGACCTTTAAACAATCATAAACTAATGAGACAATAATTGACAGCGTTGCAATAATCACACTGCCTTTGAGTCATTTCACAAATGTTTTTGTTGACTCTTACTTTGTGACTAGATAATTAGGCCCATAATCGCGAGGAAAACATGACATGATCGCCCTGCAGGACAGAAAATGCTCACTGATGCAGGATTGGCAAATGTTTACATAACCACATAAAAGAACTCAACCGTCAACAACAATTATATAGATTTAGACCTCATAAAGAACTAATATTGAATGTTAAGGTGTGGTAACATCTGGTTTAACAAGTTAGACTGAAGATGGAAAGCGTCAGGACTTTTCATTAAAGCTCTTCCCATACAACTTAAGATGTTTATTTTAATATTAATTTGCAGGAACCTGATGATAAGGGGCTAGCTAGGCTGAAATTGGTGCCTATAAATGACACTATCATCTGTTAAACCATAAGAAAACTTCTGTCACCGCAATTGTGATATTTAGATATTAGGATTAAAATGTTAACTATTGTAGCAGAGAATTAAAAATAAGTCACTGGCAAGTCAACTAAAAGGCCTTTGTTTGCAGAGCATTAGTGCTAAAATGGTACAAATAAGCAACAACTGGTTATGCACAGTACAGTATGCAAATACAACAGCAACACACAGCTATTCAAATAAATGCAAAAGGAGAAAAAAAGGAAATGTAAACTTTTTGAAGCTGCAAAACAGCACGACTTGTGAAGATTTTATGCTAAAAGGAAATAATTGCAATTGATTGTGAACTTTTAGATATGAATGTGGATCATTTTTACGACTGTTTTTATTTAAAAATAAAATCAGTTA